ATCCATCCTTCGCTAGATGGGTTTCCATCAAGAACACTATTTGGGGATTATGAAATCGGGTCACCGATTTTAGAGAAGCAACTGCCAGAGGATTCCCCAACCCCTGACAGTTGAGGCTTAAGAGATTCATTGTGATAGGCGGCCTTGCAACTCGGCAAGGTCCGCCTCTGGTTCTGTTGGGTTTATTGCTGCACTTTTCCTGTACTTTTTCCCTTCTTTTCCTTTGTGTTTCCCTTCTTCTTCATAGTCAATGTCCATGTCATCTTCATTTCTTCTTTTCCCTCCTGTTACTACTATCTGATCACCCCCTTCTCCTTTTCGGCCTTCCTTTTTTAGTCTAGTCCACGTGTTTGGGCCTCTGCTTTTCCCTGCCACTACAATTCCCATAATAGTTTGGGCTTTTGTTTTACCTTCTTGCATTTCCACTTGGGCTTCTCGACCCTCTATGGCTAGGCCCGAGAATTCCTGATTTATTATACCAGCCCTTTCTTCTTCTTTTTTATTTTCCTTTTCTTCTTTCTTTTCCCCTTCTCCTGCTTCTTCCTCACTTATTATATCTAGCTGTAAAGTTCCACTTTCACCGTTCCGTTCTCCAAGGCTGTTGCTTCCATTACCGTCATTAATTCTTCCTTGATCCTCTTGCACCTCCTTGATTATGTCAAAAAGTCTAATTCGCGGCGTTTTAGGAGGAACATCAACCGTCGTCGGATTGTCTTCCCTTTTATCTGCCTTCTCGCCGGAATCTTCTCCGGCCTTCTTCTGTTTGGCTTCCGACCACAATGTTTTTAGCCTTCCTGCGTCCATTCTTCCTTTTGAATTCACCTTTTTTACTGGAGATAGAGCTCTTAACCAATTTCCATACTGAGATTCTTCCTCTGGGATAATCGCCTCTTCGCAGTTCTTCTTCAAATGGCCAAGAATTCCACAATTATAGCAGAAATTCGGTAGTTTCTCATATGCAACCTTATACCAAACATTTCCTTTTTCCACCGCTAATAGAACTCCTCTTCTTAGAGGTCTGCTTACATTAATAGTGACTCTCAGTCTCATGTAGCTACTCCATGGCCCTGAATTATCTGCATCAAAAACTTTGAGTGAGCCAAACATCGCTCCAATCTTTTCTGCCATTTTATCCGTCCTCATCTTTGGTGGGATCTTCCGGATTCGAACCCATATTTCTGTCTCGCTAAAATCCATTTCAGTTGCTTCTTTGTCTCTTTCAATTGGTTTGAACACCATAAGCTGATTATCAAAGTGCCATGGTCCTCCGTGGAGGGCCTTTTGCCGATCTTCATTACTGAAAAACTGGAATGTAAATAGGCGTTCCCCTACCGAGTGTACAATGAACTCCTTCCTCGGTTTCCAAGCGGCGCTTAAAGCTGTCTTCAAATACTTGACTCCAGGTGCTCTGTTTCCTTGAAGAGATCCCACCGCTCCCCATCCTTCAATCGCTTCTTCTACTCTAACATCAACATCTTCTTCTTCTACGCTGACAACATTCGCTTCTTCCTCAGACAAGTGAAAGTTTATTAACTTTTTCTCTATTTCTGATGCCATAAGACTTCAGTCGACTGACAAGTAAACATAAAATATGGGTAAGGATGGAAAAGAGAGGGGGAACTTGGGGAAGGAAAAGGAGATGGAAGAAGATTAACAGTCGCAAGCACAGGCTTGAGGATTAAAAACACGGCTCACGGGAGGAGCAGAGAAACCGAGCTCTCAGAGCGAGAGAGAAGTATCAGTGCACTTGTAGAGATTCACAAAACAGGTTCACACTCTTGTTAAAGAATTAATTTGTCGTCAATCATGTTCTATAAAATTTTGTCCACTATCAATTCAAGAATAGTTAACGTATTTGTACTTCCATAAAGTCACTTTATAATTAGAGACTTTAATTAGTTTAATGTTCCACTAATGAGAAATAAAAAAAAGAGTCATGTATATGTTGATAGAACATAGCCAAAGTTCTTGGTTTTACCTTCTCCCATTTTCAATTGATCAGTTGATAGGGTTGTTTCGGTTTGTCAATTATATTGTCAGACTTCCAACAACTTCACCACTAACCTCTAAAAAAAGCAATACCAACGTCTTCACCAAATCTATGCATGTTGCTGTTTTTGCATATCTAATTCTCCAACAATCTGGCCAAAATAGATACTTTGAGAGGGGTTTTTGAAGGATCAAAATTAGTATAGGATTGAGGTGTAACATTTGTTTTAATTTATGTTTTGTTCTCTGTAAATTAACCGACACTGTATAAATGTAATACGGAACAGTCCAATTTTCAAAGTTTTTTGGTAATATGATTGAGATTGGTTTTCTTCTCCAACAAATAGTATACAATACAATGTATCGTGTACATGTTTAACTTACAACTTCCTAGTAACCACTGACATTGTAATTTAATCCATTAATCAATTATATTAAGTTTATAACAGTTTCCGTACACATAACTTCCAACCTCTAATGACATAATTTTACCATCTTTCATGCCCTAACCCTTTCTAATTAATCACCATGCATACATCAACCATTTCCATCTTTTATTACTCAAGCACTACTCGTCACCTTCACCTCGGGTATATGTCAGTAATGGAAGCCTCATCAATCGACCACAAGACCGACTTGCTTCCCGAATGATCACTCTGATCCGCCAACACCATCAGCTCGGTTCTTCTCCCGCCGCCGCCGGTAGCCCTCGTCGGGGAGAAAAACGCGGGTTGTTTAGGCAATAGGTGGCTAACGGAGTAGCCGCTGAGCATCAGAACCACCGCCGCCATTGTTGGCCTATCGGCCGGATTCTCCTGGACGCAAAGCAGGCCGATGTAAATGCATCTCATGACCTCGTTGGTGGAACACGAATCCAGCAGCGTGGCATCCAGCACCTCCAATGGCGTCCCGTCCCTCCAATTCCTCCACACCTATGATTACACATGTACATATGAACACGACTCGTTGCCCAAAAAAAAGAGGAAATGGAAAGTCTTCGAATGGGAAAAAGGTGGAGTTTTCATCGTAATATATACTATACTCACGTAGCCAAGGAGGTCTTGGGCTCCATCCTTTTTGGTGAAGGTGGAGTTCCTCAATCCAGTTATGATCTCCAAGAGCAAGACGCCAAAGCTGTACACGTCGGATTTTGCCGAGAACTGTCCGTACATTGCATACTCGGGAGACATATAGCCACTAAAAAAAATCGAAGAAAGAGCTGTTAAATTTGGATGATTTTGGAAGATGATATATGAATATAGAGTTGTTATGATCAGGACTTACTAAGTGCCGACGATTCTGTTGGTGTTTGCCTGAGTCTGGTCAACACCGAAGATCCTTGCCATCCCAAAATCAGAAATCTTAGGCTTCATGTCCTTGTCCAACAAGATATTACTAGCCTTGAGGTCGCGATGTATGATCTTAAGTCGAGAGTCCTCGTGGAGATAGAGAATCCCTCGAGCGATTCCGGCTATTATATGGTAACGGGATGCCCAATCCAGCAACATTTTCATTTCATCAGCTGCATGGTTAATGTACAATATACTGTTAGGAAAATTATCGTTTGTATAATCCGTCCGATTATGACCGTTCTCGTCTTTGCACTTAGTACAAACAAATATACCATAGAGAAAATGGTCAAGGCTCTTGTTGGGGACGAATTCGTAGACGAGTATTCTCTCGTCCCCTTCTAAGCAAAACCCTAAGAGCTTGACTAGGTTCCTGTGTTGAAGCTTGGCGACCAACAACACCTCGTTCTTGAATTCTTCCTCCCCTTGTCCTGAACTTTTCGACAGTCGCTTCACTGCTATCTCTTCTCCGGTCGTGAGTGTGCCCTAAAGATATAGTCCCACAGTTTGAAAGACGATGGATGATGGATATAATGGTAAAAGTTCTAGATGCTGGATTAGAGTAATTTTAGAAGAAGCTAATTCGATCTTTTACCCTATACACCACGCCGAATCCACCTTGTCCAAGTTTGTTGCCTTCGACAAAGTTTTCAGTGGCGGCTTCTATGGTTGCCAGGTCAAATTGTAGGGACTCTGCATTTGGGATCTCGTTTTCTTCTGGACCAATTCATATGACATGGAAAAAAGAAAAGTATGGACTTATGGTGGGGGATAAACGCCTTCGTACGAAAGCAAACATAAATCGTCACCAAAACCTTTTTTTTATTTTCAACAAACTTACCACTAAGGTTCGAAATATAAAAAATTTATATAATTTTGTTGTCTAATTTAACGTGATATTCACATAAATTATTTTTATGAGCAGGTCAAAACGGTCGTAGCTTTGAAAAAATTAACATTCTTTTACTCACATAGTCACACTAGATCTAAACCAAACTTGATAATTACCGTTTATACGTACTGATTTAGTACACAATTCCCACAAAAACCTAACAAATTAAGGTGGAAATTTGAGTTACTTACTTTTATATGTCTGTCAATAATCAAATCTTTTAGTGACTAATGTATCAAAATGTGACCGGCCCGCATAACTATTTATTGACCAATAAATATTAATGCAATTGACCGAGATATAATAAAGACCGTGTAACTAAAAAAACAGCACATATACCACAATTAACCGGCTCTTGTGTAGCAATAGTACTATTGTGCAACAATAGGAGCTTTCTGGTTGCTCTTCTTCTCCGACTGATGAGGAAGCAGCAACCTAGGCCCAAAATCCAAGCGAAAACAGCGATCGGAGCCACGATGGCGGCTATTACTCCCGATGAGATCCGGCCGCCGCCTGCATGCATGCGGATGCACGTAAAGTACTACAGATCGACGTGGATCGATATTATATATGATATATGTAATGTAAAGAAACAGGTTCAACTTGCTAAGTTTTTGTCATCATTATGTTTATATACACTTCATAGTTCGTACAACCATAAAGAACCATGGTGGTGTTTAGCTAACTAGAGATTCCCACTATTTTTATTTGATTATTTCTATAATGATAGCCTTGTACAGTTATATTTCTGTAAAGTGACTTTATAATTAGCGTCTTTAATTAGTTTATCCCACTAGTGAGAGATGAAAGTCATGGATATGTTGACAAAATATAACTAAATTTTTTGGTTTTACCTTCTCCCATTTGAATTGATAGTTGATGGGGTTGTTCTAGTTTGTCGTCAATTGTCAGACTTCCAACAACTTCACCACTAATCCCTAAAAAAGTAGTGGCACTAAGCTAAACTATAATGTTAATCACATTAAACTACCAATGAAACGGACCAAACGGTATAAGAAAATCCAAGGTAGATATACGATGATACCACTAACAAAATATATATATATATATATATATATATGGTGCCTTCTACGGTACCCCGGGTGAAATCTGGGGTACCGCATACCTTGAGTATGAAAACGTTATCTAGACCTCGAATTAGCAGGATTTCTGGGCATGATATTATACCCTAACCCTTAATGAGTGAACCCTAGGTCCTAATTATCTAAATCATAAACTATAAACCCTAAGATGGTGCATTGTTTTGTTGCTTATATTTGGACGAATCATAACCGTCGATTATTAATTCTAATTAAATTGATCTTGGGGTACAAGGTTTAGAGAATTAAGACCTAGATTTTGATCTTTAAGAGTTAGATTATAGTACCATGTCCGAAAGATCAGTGAATTCAAGTTCTGGATAGCATTTTCTTACTCAAGGTATGCGGTACCCCGGATTTCACCCTGGGTACCGTAGAACTCCCCATATATATATATATATGGTAATTAATGATGGGTGTCTTTTAGAAGTATATCATATAAGAGTATTCTTTATTGTAATTCGATGAGTTAGAGTTTTTTTATTATTAATTTGCATTAGATGGACCTTCGGGTTTGGATTTAGAAAATTGATGCCCGGAATTTATTTATTTAAGGTTAAGGTATAGTACTATACTCCAAATTCGGTTTAAATCATTATCTAAATAGATATATCTCAATAAAAATATTTGAAATATATAATAGAACATTTTGACCTATATATATATATACATTAAACTACTTACAACAACCATAATTCACAACATACCTTGATCATCGGTCCACGTTGTTTCCACCGGAGACGGAGATGGCGAACTCGCCAGCTCCCCATATGGCGGAGCTGCTGTCGCGACAGCAGCTCCCTCATAGAAAGGGTACACCTCGTACCTAATGTTACAGCTGGGAAGCAGAACCCTCCCGCCCTGCTTCCCGCCACAACAACTCGGGAGCAAGCTCAAACAAGTCCTCAAGCACCGATCGCAATTCTCCTCGGACAAGTCATCCGTACACTGAGCCAGCGTGTAAAGCGACTGAAAAGCCGACAACTCGACGCCCTTCGTGGCGAACTTCTTGGCCTCTCCATTAGCCGCCTCGGCCACGATCTCGTTCATCACCCGACCGAGCAGCTCGTTGAACCGGTCGGGTTCGGACACGTTGCGGGTGTTGTAGAGCATGAACGTGTCCGGCTGGACCGAGAAGGCCGACCGGTTCGAGTAACGGACCAGGCACCGGTCGTACCATACGATGGCGGTTTTTTGGTTCGGGCAGTGGTTGAGGGTGTCGGTGGTGGCGAAGTCGATGCAGTTTTGGCACTCCTTCGGGGTGATGTCGCCGCGGCAGAGGTAGAGCCCGTAGGTGGCGGAGGAGGAGTCGTTTCCGGCGGTGGATTCGGCGTAGTGGAAGCCTTCGCCGTTGGCGGCAGCGGCGGAGAGGTTGGAGAGGAGGAGGTTGAGGTTGGAGCCGAAGGTGGAGTTTGGAGGGAAGCTTGTTGCGTTGGGGCAAACATGGGTGAGGTAAACGGGATCGGGTGATTGTGCGAGGACCGTGGTGGTAATTTGGATGGAGAGAAGGACAAGTAGAAGAGACAATTTGGAGGGGATCATGGTTTTGGAAAGTTGTGGGAGAAAAGAATGAAAGATGGTTGAGTTTGGTCATTGGTGGATTTGGGAGTTATATAACACAAGACCTAGTGTGAGAATTCGCATCCTTGACTTATTAGTCGAATTAGTTTAACCTTTTTTTTCCAATTGAGAATTCACATTGATTTGGACAATCACGTATGCAAATTCTTGACTGTTGTTTGGACATGTACAAGTAGGCTTAACTATATGGATTTGTTTAACAATGAGAAAGTGCCTTCTGCGAAGGTGAAGGTGGAAGAAAGAGGATGAGCAGGTGATTTGGCCAGTCATGTCACATTTAGTCAGGTTCGCTTTTATATTAGAAAGTAGAAGATAGTGTTAAGTTACTTTTTGACTTCTAAAACTATTTTTTTTTTAAATTGCTTTCTCTATAGTGAAAATTAGGTTTTAGATCATTGGGCTATACCATTTTTCTATATATATATCTTCTTATGTCATGTCTACATCCAACTACATATGTTACTCAATAAAATCTATTTCTTGGCATAGTAAGTAATATACTGCACGGATAAGTTGCGTATAAAATATGTTATTCAATATAATAATACGTCAATAATTATAAAATATATAAACATAATTATATAGAAAATTTACGATATAAAAAAATAATAGTTAAGTTAGTCATTTAATTCATTAAATACATATATTAAACGTGTTATACGATTGAGTATGAGAGGCATAAAATGAACGGGACAAAATGAAACGTCTTGACAATAATATGGATACGAAAGGTTTAAACTGATAAAATACGCATGGCCATATATACGTGTATTAAATGAATTATTTACTAACTATGCTTCTTAGGAAAAAGGGTAAAATGATATGCTATATATGTAACATGATATGTCCTCTCTAGGTTGAATATCCACATAATAATCTTTTAAATAATCCTGACTTTGCTCTTGACTACATATATAATGAACAACTTCCAATCACAAAATAATTCAACATAAAGGAAATTCAAAGCCCTTACTAGCCAGCTAGTAAGAATTAGTATACAGCAATATTGTTATCTCGGATACATGTCAGTGATGGAAGCCTCATTAATCGACTTGTCACCTGATTGGCCATTTTCCACCACCACCACCACTTGCCTTGTTCCTCGGCCACCGCGGCCGACAGCCGAGCTGCAGCTGGTCGGAGAGAAAAACGCCGGCTGCTTGGGCAACAACGGTTGACTAACGGAGTAGCCACTCAGCATTAGAGCCACCGTCGCCATCGTCGGCCTATCAGCCGCTTGTTCTTGTACGCACAGCAAACCAACATGAATGCATCTAAGGACTTCATTGTAGGAATAGGAATCCAGCAACGTCGTGTCCAACACTTCCAATGGCGTCCCATCCTTCCAGTTCTTCCAAACCTGGGAGACATAAGTATTGAGATATGCTAAAAAAATGAATCTTTCATAATTTCATTACTTTTTTTTCTTCTAATAATTAACAAACAATAGAATACCAATAATATTCGATTATGTGAAAACGGAGCTCTCAATATACTCTACTTACGTAGCCAAGGAGGTCTTGGGCACCATCCTTTTTGGTGAAGGTGGAGTTTTTCAATCCAGTTATGATCTCCAGGAGCAAGACTCCAAAGCTGTACACATCAGTTTTCTCTGAGAATTGTCCGTACATTGCGTATTCTGGAGACATGTAGCCACTAAAATCAACAACAAAAAAACTAGTTGCATTAGAAATATGAAGAGAAAGATAATAATGTAATCACAAAGTCTATACTTAAAATTGAAATTGTGTGTGAGTTATTAATTGGAGTAAAATATTGACTTTTTATATAGGATTATAGGTACCGTGTTTCGCAACTTATCAGTCCATCCATTATATGCAATTGAGATCTTGCGTATAAGATACGACGACACTACGTACAAATTTACTTTCGTTTTGACGGACATGTATTGTACTTAACTAATGAGTACAGAACTGAAGGGCTTGCGGATCATCGATTTCATACGTAATAATTTTGACGGCGTATATATATTAATTGATGACTTACAAAGTGCCGACAATTCTGTTCGTATTTGCCTGAGTTTGGTCAACTCCGAAGATCCTAGCCATCCCAAAATCTGAAATCTTGGGCTTCATATCCTTGTCCAACAAGATGTTGCTAGCCTTGAGGTCACGATGTATGATCTTAAGCCGAGAATCCTCGTGGAGATAAAGAGTCCCTCGAACAATTCCGAGTATTATCTGGTGTCGTGATGGCCAATTTAACAACATTTTCCTTTCCTCAGCTGCAGGTAATACATGAAGGGAGAAAGATTATCCAAAGATATAGCTTTTCGATGGGTTTCTCTCTACACAATCTGAGTATTGATGTATGAAAATACAGTTTATGACAATGAATCAGCTTGAAATCAGGTTTGGCTTGTTAGGGTTCGTTTACTTTGTGTAAGTTAAATTTGGTTTTAGTACTAACCGTAGAGAAAATGGTCGAGGCTCTTGTTGGGGACGAATTCGTAGACGAGTATTCTCTCGTCCCCTTCCAAGCAAAACCCTAACAGCCTGACTAGATTCTTGTGTTGAAGTTTGGCCACTAGCAGAACCTCGTTCTTGAACTCTTCCTCTCCTTGTCCCGAGCTTTTCGACAGTCTCTTCACCGCTATTTCTTCTCCGGTAATGAGGGTGCCCTAAAATATACACCAAAGTTCCAAATATATATATAGATGGATTAGCCAATGCAAAATCAAGAATTCGAGCTCAAAGTAACATTTTCAGGGTAAACCTTAAAAGTTCTTCTCTCTTACGTACCCTATAAACCTCGCCGAATCCACCTTGTCCAAGTTTATTACGAGGGTCGTAGTTACTGGTTGCGGCTTCGATGGTGGCCAGGTCGAACTGCAGGGACTCGGCATTGGTGATCTCGTTTTCTTCTGAGCCAAAGTTCCAGGGAGCAAAACACATGCAGTGTTAGTATGCAATCCGCCGCGGGAGCAAATGGTATAATGTAACTGAAGAGAGTAATAATATAATACGACCAAACCAATTGAAAAGCGCCACCAATTTCGTCCATTTGGGTCTCCTCCAGAACCAGAAGCAGCGTTGTGAACTAGCTTAAGCTTCTTTCTAGTTGATGATGATCTCATTCTATTGTTGATGAAGCAGCAAGCTAGGCCGCCTACTATCCACATGAAAACGGCAACTGGAACCCCGATGGCGGCTATTATTGCTCCCGATGATATCCCGCTTCCGTCGCCTGCATGCATAAAGAAAACGTACAGCAGGACAGAACAGTGGTTAATTACTCCTATAGCAAAGCGAACAAACATGTGATGATGTGAATGTTTTTACTTTTGACACATCATCAGATGGTGAACATAGATTAGTGAATTTATTGATTGGGTTAAATGGATTCATGGAACTAAGTGTTATTTAAAATGGACCCAATAATGGACAAAGCAAGAAATTAAATAAATTTAAAAATTTACTTGATTTACTAAATAATGTATCATCTCATAATTATTTCCAATTATAACCCAGATAAACAAATTCAAGATCATATGACACCATCTACACCACTGGAAAATAGATTTTCATTTCATTTACTTATTTAATAAGAATTTGTCGCCATCATGCAGTGGTGCTTATCTATATAATTCCACTCTCATTTCTATATTATTATTATTATTGCTTCTATGGTCAGTGAGTTTTAACTGCTGTTGACAATTGACGGGAGTTGGTTGTGTCGTTTGTCAGACGTTCAACCACTTCACCAGTAATCCCAAAAAGCAAATATTTTCTTATTATTATTATTATTATTCATATCACGTACAACTTAGGGCTGGGCATGCGGGCGGATCATCCGCGGGTTTGGGCCGACCCACCCGCATTTGACCCGAATTTCGTTAAGTGGGTGGGTCTGTGGGTGGGTGACGGGTTGCGTTGGGAGCCATCCGCCGGGTGGTGGGTGGGTTGTGGGTGAGTGTGCGGGTGACCCGCTCAACCCAACAGCAAAAAGATCAAAGTCGTTGGCGCTAGAGAGAGGAGAGTGGAGACGTTAGATATAAACTCGGACTGCTCCTGGAGTTTGAACCTCAAAGCCAACCTTCCAAATAGAGATCCCCTCTTCTCCCCTTTACCTTTTCCTCTAATTCTTGAGTCTAGATCACCGCTCTTTCCTTTGTGGAATTATTTTCCTTAGTTCCTTGCACCTAATAATCATCTCAATATGTAGAAAACTCTTTCATAATAGAATTTCTATCCAATTTAAGAACTAATTCGACATTTTTCGCCCTATTTCAACTTCTTGTTTCCCTCGATGATTCTCTTCGCCTATTATCATGTCAAGTTGATTCCTTTATATTATATACATTGTGATGTGGGTGAACCCACAAACCCACCCGCATCATCCACCATCCGCCCGACCCAACCCGAGACTAAATGTGGGTGGGTGGTGGGTTAAAAATTATCAATCCGTTTAAGCGCGGGTGGGTGCATTTTATGGTCAAAATCCACCCGACCCACCCAATGCCCACCCCTAGTACAACTCCACAAATTTCATTTAAAAAATAATATCTAAAGGCACACTTATAATAATATCTGAAAAAAAATGGAACGACACAAACAAACAAGATAGCTGTACCCACCTTCAACCCGCGTCTCTACTGGAGCCGGAGCCGGAACTTCCAGCTCCGGCGGAGCTGCCGCCACTTCAGTCGTAGCAGTTTCTCTATAAAAAGGATGGGATTCGTATCTGATGTTACAGCTAGGAAGCAGAACCCTTCCGCCTTGCTTTCCACTGTTACAGCAAGACGGAAGCAAGCTCAGACACGTCCTCAGGCATCGGTCGCAGTTTTCGCCGGACAAGTCGTTCGTGCACTGAGCCATCGCATAAACCGACCGAGAAGGCGCCGCCACGTCGGACTTAGTCGCAAACTTCTTAGATTCCCCCGCAGCCGCCTCGGCGATGATCTCTCTCATAAGCCGGGTCGCCAGCTGGTTGAACCGGTTTGGGTTTGTTGCGTTTGTGGCATTATTGCACAGAACGAACGTGTCCGGCTGGACCGAGAAGCTCGACCGGTTCGAGTAGCGAACCATACAGCGGTCGAACCAGATGACGGCGGTTTTCCGGTTCGGACAGTGCTGGGCGGTGTGGGAGGCGGCGAAGTTGACGCAGTCTTGGCATTCTTTCGGGGTGGTGTCGCCCCGGCAGAGGTAGAGGCCGTAGGCGGCGGCCGTGTCGGGGCGGAAGGACTGGTTGCCGGCGGCGGCGTAGTGGAAGGGGGCGCCGGCGGTGGCGGCGGTGGAAAAGAGGGAGAGGAGGGCGTTGAGGTTGGTGGCGAAGGTAGAGTTTGGAGTGAAAGCTGTGGCGGTGGGGCAGACGTGAGTTATGTAAGTGGGATTGGACGGTTGGGCGAGTGTTAGTTGAAAGGGAAGAAGAAGAAGAAGAAGAAGGATAAGGAGAAGAGAGAATTTGGATAGCATCATTTAATTTGTGTTTTTGGGCTTACTGATTTTCTTAATAATTGGTTCATATTGGTGGATTTGAGAGGGATGATGATATATAATCGGCTGAAAAAGGGTAGTGAAGTTGGATTTGACTTGTTGTAGTTGACCTTGTTGCATGTGGCGGTTCAAGAGTCATTAATTTGCTAATGGGTGCTTGTAGATTAGAGTTAAAGTTTGAGAAAAAAAAAAGAGTTAAAATTTGAAAGTCAATGTAGATATTGTTATTTGGTTCTATGAATTCGAGTGAATGGATAGAAGATTAATTATGAATTTGCACGGTCTATCAAACGAAAGTTTGCTGTGTTTGAAATTTGTATAGGTCGAGCATACCTTGTTCTTCAACCACATGATCAAACAAGCTTTTATACCATGTCATGAATCGTTTGATCTTAATAATTTGTTAGAAAAAAGTTGATTATGAATCTTACATCACTCTCTTGCGTATTTGCATGTGAATTAATGAGAAAAGTGATAAAGTTTAGTCATTTGATATGAAACCTTTTCATTTAGGGTACAAGCGCGCCTTTAAGAAAGTACATAAGGGTATGCATGTATTATTTGTTTTTATAAGAGCATGATATAAATTTAGTTTTAGGTTAGAGGTGCTGCTTAAGTGATTCATATCTAATAATAACTTCAGATTCAAGACCATTGGTATTACCACTAGACCAAATTCTTATTTGTAAGTGTTGATGTGACTTGAATTGGACTATCAGCCCCTACGACTGGAATAGTCGGACTCTGAATAGACCAAATTCTTATTGAACCATGTAAATCATGTGTCGTGTTTTCCTGATCCGTAGAAAAATATTAAATAATGAACTTCTGTAGGCTCTTTATGTTATGGATGAGCGGCGATACAGTGGAGTAGGGCTGGCTATTTGGTCCCGGACTGTTTGGTTTTACCCGAAACCGGATCGAACTGGGACCGGATAGCAAACAATCCAATCTCATATTTGAGCTTAGATTTGAGGTAAAAAAAACTCGGATAAAGACCGGATAAGAGACCCCCAACACCTAAAATCAAGATCAAATTGGGACCGGACCGGGTCAAGATCGGACCAAATCAAGACCGGACAGTAAGGGTACGTGAAATCTGAGACCTCACTCAGACCGATCACAGGATGACCATTTGTTCTTGTCGGCAAAAGTAAAAGATAATTCATGTATCGATCTCATCTTGATAATGAAAAAAATGGCGACTGAATGAGTATTACTATATATTACTAATATTAGTGTTGACTGAATGAGTATTACTATATATTAGTGTTGTCAACTTTGTTCATGTGTATTAGATCACCTACTAATTCATTGCAAGTTCGCCTACTTCCCCAAATATGACAAGCCTTTCATCATGATGGAGAATTGGAGATTATGCCACTTTGGATTGTGGCAATTACCAACCCAATTGTACTTTCGGCTCCGACAATCTTTGACTATAGCTAGCTCGTAAACTTGGTATTCCGTCCACAATGCAAGTACTACATGATCGCTAATCTAGGTTCGTGATAAAAAAAAACCCCGCAAATGCACCACAAATCCAAAATGATGTAACCATCAATCGTGAGTCCGAAATTGTTACACGACCAACTGTTTTTTCAATGGAAGACAAACACTTAATACGATATCAACACGTGCCAACGTCGTCAGATTACTCAATCCATGAATGAGTAGATCATCGATCACGACATCTTGCCATAATAAATGGCAGCTCAACCGCTAGATTTTGTTCGGACAAGGGGTAGATATATGCTTTTGACTTGCGTTGCGTGATATCCGGCTTTTATTAGTAGATGCGTAGGCGACTTGAACCTCGCAGCAGGAAGTCAACCCAGTCATGTCACACTCATTTATTAGTAGATGCTGTCGGCCAACTTCGAAATATAGCAGAGAGGAATAGACCCAAAATGGAGGTAATAATAATGATAAGGGTTAATTGCATGGTTGGTCACTGAGATTATAAAAAAAACGTTTAAGTTTGGTCACTCGAAATATTTAAATCCATTGGTTGTACTTCAGTTTACTAAAACCGTTCAGGTTTGGTCACTCTCCGTCCAACTCTGTTAACTTTTGCTTACGTGGTGGTCAAAAGTGTGACGTGGCAATTTAAAAATAATTTTTTTTAAATAATTTTTTTTAAAAATTGCCATCTCATTTCCCACCTCATTATCAATTTTATTTAAAATAAAAACCCTTTATTATCAGTTTTTAACCATTAACTTACCTTTATCTTAATTAAATTAAAAAAGGAAAATAATATCTCCCCCACCTTTTCGTCTTCCCCAACTCTCCCGAGAACCCTTCCATCGTCCCGCCGTCGTGAACCCTCCCCAACCCTTTCCACCTCGTCGACGATAAATTTCCAATGTTGTGTAAGACCACAAATAGGTCCCCGGACCCCTTGCTGTGAAGCTCGAGCCGATGCACGACTCTTCGCGGACGATGGGAAAGGTGGTGAATTGATAGGCTCGGGAGATCGGCCCGCCATCGGGGAGGAGGGAGAGAAAATGCTTCTGGCGGGTTCGGAGGTCGTAAGCGGCGAGGTCAACTTTAGATACCGGGATATAAAATCGCGATTACGATTGGCAAATTAGAGATTTCGAGACACAAAGGTTAGGGTTCACAGATTGGGATTTCAAAATCCAACACCGGCAAGCCCTTTAAAATGGTCGCCTGTCGCCGTTGGTTAGCACCGTCTCGTTCTTCATCTCGCCGGCAATGAGAGGATGTCATGATATTGTTAATCTAACTGGCAGCATCAATCTTCGCCTCTGGGTTTTGTTCATCGCCAGATCTGGGTTGGGAATAAGAGCTTCCCGTATACTGGGATGCGTTCGCTATCGTCAACAATGGTGGCCGGGCATCGTCCAGAATGGTGAGTTTTATCGACGAGAAAGATGAAGAACAGAAGAAATTATGGTTTTTTAATTTATTTTAAATAAAAGTGATAATGAGGTGGAAATGATATGTTAATTTTGAAAATTTTAATTTTATTATTTTTAAATTGTCACGTCACACATTTAACGATCAACTTTTAGAGTTGACCGTCATGTAAGCAAAAGTTAACGGAGTTGGACGGAGAGTGAGCAAACGTGAACGGTTTCAGTAAAATGAAGTACCACCAATGGATTTAAATATTTTGAGTGACCAAACTTGAACGCTTTTTGTAATCTCAGTGACCAACCATGCAATTAACCCATAATGATAACTAATAAAATCGTATAGTCTTAATTATACAACGGCGCAGTAATGCTTACGTCGAAGTAGTGATGTGATACTTCTGATTTTGGATTGTCTGCTCTTACCTGGTTATTATCTGGCTTGTAATTGATGTTAGTAAACGGTATATGATCCACGACTGAACCTCTCCCAACAACTTTAGGACTCCCCTTGCAGTGCTTATGGTACAACTAGGTTTTACATTTCCTTGTTTATGTCAAGGACTTATGTGCCGACAGGCGACAATGTCGTAGCAACAATCAGAGTCGAGCAATAGCATGTGACATATGTCATTTAAAGATAAGGGTGAATGAGAAACACAACAAATTAAAATTAGACAAGAGAATGACCGACAACCCACTTTTCATCGTGCCCTAGACGTGGTGATTGTCCAAGTAGGGATGGGCAACAAGGTGGTTGAACCACAGTTTGATACGAACTTACAAATAACTCAAATCATGGATGAGTAGTTTATGTGGGTGGATTGTGAGTAGGGGTGATAAACGGTTAGTCGGTTATCGGTTTTAACCGATAACCGAACCAATAAAGTCGGTTAGTGGTTAACCGATACTCGTTACTTCCTTATTAATTTCGGTTTCGGTTAGTAGTATTTTGGTTAGTGGTTAACCGATAAGAAAACCGATAACCGCCAACTAGTGTGACTACATGGTTTTTTACTTTGGCTAAGGGAAAAAGTTGTAAGATTCAAAACCAATCAAAGTTGCAATTCCAAACATCCCAATTCTCACCTATTGCAAACAACCCTCCATCAAGAGTCTCAAATGTTTTTAAGAGTTAGACAAACCCACTAAAATGGACCAAACCCTAGCCCTGATCCTCCACGGCTGCAACTTAGCCCGGCAGCTGGAATCCAACCTCGTCCACTTCGCCCAAAACCCCGAACCGCTCGCCAAATCCTGCGACGAGATACTCACCGTCTTCCTGACCTGCAAGGACAGGCTGCAGCTACTCTTCCGACAGAGCAACCCTCCTCCTCCTCCTCCTCCTCAGCCGCCGCAGGCGGTCAATGCGGTTGACCAGAGCGGGATCCAGCAGTGGCTGAGGACCGCCGCCATGGAGAGGCTCCACGCGCAGGTTCTCGAGAATATGGCTGCTTGCACTGGCAGCAGCGGCGCTTCGGTGACGGCGGCCGGTACGGTGGCGGGTGGGTCGGATTCGGCGGCGGTGCGGGCGGTGGCAGCGTCCTCGTCGGGGTCTCAGCAAAGGAGGAGAAGGCAAGCAAAACAGCCAAAACTTATTGCCTTTTGGAATTATTATTATTTAGTCGGGTTGATCATATTTTTGCATTCCAAACTACACGTCTTGATGTTTTCTTTCTTTCTTTCCCTATGCATGCATCCTAAACAACCGAAGCAAAAGCGACCAAGTCATTAGCCTTTAAGTGCTCTCTTCTCTTGTGCACAAAATTTTCTAATCTTACTCACTAATCACTATATAAGTCCCTCTATCTTTCGCTAATAATTACTAGCTAGACCTACAAACCCAACATTAGTACTCAGTTATACAATCTTGTGCAGAAAATCTAACTAACTTCTAACTTCACCTACGCTCTTTTTTAAATAAATAAAATTTGTATTGTTCGTTTTGATTCAAACACATTTGATATGAATACAACATAGCTAAACTAGGGTATAATGCATTTGTTTTTAGTTTTCATTGAATGTGAACGTGGAATGCATGTTATAGAGCTACTCCGAACACTATATTTGTTTAGGTATCAATCTCATCTCCTTTATATGAACACACATTGTGAACGAGATGACTCATCTAGTTTAGACTATATATTTTTCTTATATGAACAAACATTGCGCGTTTTTCTTTCTTTCTTTCTTATGCTTCGTTAAGGAATTGTTTTCTTCGTCTCAAGATATAACAAGGAGAAATTGATATTAGCAAACAATTCTACTCATGAACCCCTCAAAGCAATACTTAGTGAAATCATCCTCTAAACTCAAAGACCATTGTCCTTTAAAGGGGATATAGTAACAACAGTTTACGACTTACGCGCCACTCTATATTTGAAATAAGTTTGGTCCTTTTTCCGAACCATAACTTCGACGCCCTGACACAAATGTAACATATCATATTAATGAATTTGCTGTATAAGACTAAAACTCAGAATTTACTCGGTAGAAATATAAAAAATGGATGAGACTTGGGAGAAATAAACAAAAGAAACAAAGGATTAACGTGGCCTACATGCCTGCTGCCATGTCATCCTTCCAATTATCAAATTAAAAATATTTAAAGTTTTAAAGTAAAAGATGCAGACAATAATCACATGGGAAAATCTCCCAAGTTAAGCCACGTAAACAACTAAACATCTTAATAAAGAATTATGCAAGTTGGAATAATCTTTCTCTTTCAATGAGTATATATATGTACGGAGAGAGGTTACTTAACGCGTATAATACGGAATGAACAATTAAAAAACGGCAAACGACATAAATTACGCTAGAAACGGGCATACATACGCGTATTATACGTGTTTCCCCCCCTTTTTTACTAACTATGCCTGCAGATGCTAGTCCTGATACACTTGAAATTTCCTGCTAGCCAAACGCACACCATCACCGAAATGAACGAGCAGCCCACCAAAACAGGAGACAACAAGCACCCGTCAAAACAACCTGCAAAGGGAGCAGGGGCCATTTTGTTGACCAAGCCAAACCACTACTACTATTAGTATACTACACACTACTACTATTAGTATACACACTACGTACAAATTTACTTTCGTTTTGACGGACATGTATTGTACTTAACTAATGAGTACAGAACTGAAGGGCTTGCGGATCATCGATTTCATACGTAATAATTTTGACGGCGTATATATATTAATTGATGACTTACAAAGTGCCGACAATTCTGTTCGTATTTGCCTGAGTTTGGTCAACTCCGAAGATCCTAGCCATCCCAAAATCTGAAATCTTGGGCTTCATATCCTTGTCCAACAAGATGTTGCTAGCCTTGAGGTCACGATGTATGATCTTAAGCCGAGAATCCTCGTGGAGATAAAGAGTCCCTCGAACAATTCCGAGTATTATCTGGTGTCGTGATGGCCAATTTAACAACATTTTCCTTTCCTCAGCTGCAGGTAATACATGAAGGGAGAAAGATTATCCAAAGATATAGCTTTTCGATGGGTTTCTCTCTACACAATCTGAGTATTGATGTATGAAAATACAGTTTATGACAATGAATCAGCTTGAAATCAGGTTTGGCTTGTTAGGGTTCGTTTACTTTGTGTAAGTTAAATTTGGTTTTAGTACTAACCGTAGAGAAAATGGTCGAGGCTCTTGTTGGGGACGAATTCGTAGACGAGTATTCTCTCGTCCCCTTCCAAGCAAAACCCTAACAGCCTGACTAGATTCTTGTGTTGAAGTTTGGCCACCAGCAGAACCTCGTTCTTGAACTCTTCCTCTCCTTGTCCCGAGCTTTTCGACAGTCTCTTCACCGCTATTTCTTCTCCGGTAATGAGGGTGCCCTAAAATATACACCAAAGTTCCAAATATATATATAGATGGATTAGCCAATGCAAAATCAAGAATTCGAGCTCAAAGTAACATTTTCAGGGTAAACCTTAAAAGTTCTTCTCTCTTACGTACCCTATAAACCTCGCCGAATCCACCTTGTCCAAGTTTATTACGAGGGTCGTAGTTACTGGTTGCGGCTTCGATGGTGGCCAGGTCGAACTGCAGGGACTCGGCATTGGTGATCTCGTTTTCTTCTGAGCCAAAGTTCCAGGGAGCAAAACACATGCAGTGTTAGTATGCAATCCGCCGCGGGAGCAAATGGTATAATGTAACTGAAGAGAGTAATAATATAATACGACCAAACCAATTGAAAAGCGCCACCAATTTCGTCCATTTGGGTCTCCTCCAGAACCAGAAGCAGCGTTGTGAACTAGCTTAAGCTTCTTTCTAGTTGATGATGATCTCATTCTATTGTTGATGAAGCAGCAAGCTAGGCCGCCTACTATCCACATGAAAACGGCAACTGGAACCCCGATGGCGGCTATTATTGCTCCCGATGATATCCCGCTTCTGTCGCCTGCATGCATGCCGAGAAGGTAAAGTACGTAAAAAAAGAAAACGTACAGCAGGACAGAACAAACATGTGATGATGTGAATGTTTTTACTTTTGAGTTTTGACACATCATCAGATGGTGAACATAGAAGTGATAAACAAATTGAATATATAGATTAGTGAATTTATTGATTGGGTTAAATGGATTCATGGAACTAAGTGTTATTTAAAATGGACCCAGCCAATAATGGACAAGAAATTAAATAAATTTACATGATTTACTAAAATAATGTATCATCTCATAATTTCCAATTATAACCCAGATAAACAAATTCAAGATATGACACCATCTACACCACTGGAAAATAGATTTTCATTTCATTTACTTATTAATAAGAATTTGTCGCCATCATGCAGTGGTGCTTATCTATATAATTCCACTCACATTTCTATAATAATAATATTATTATTATTATTATTGCTTCTATAGTCAGTGAGTTTTAACTGCTGTTGACAATTGACGGGAGTTGGTTGCGTCGTTTGTCAGACGTTCAACCACTTCACCAGTAATCCCAAAAAGCAAATATTTTCTTATTATTCATATCACGTACAACTCCACAAATTTCATTTAAAAAATAATATCTAAAGGAACACTTATAATAATATCTGAAAAAATGGAACGACACAAACAAACAAACAAACAAGATAGCTTTACCCACCTTCAACCCGCGTCTCTACTGGAGCCGGAGCCGGAACTTCGAGCTCCGGCGAAGCTGCCGCGACTTCAGTCGTAGTAGTTTCTCTATAAAAAGGATGGGGTTCGTATCTGATGTTACAGCTAGGAAGCAGAACCCTTCCGCCTTGCTTTCCATTGTTACTGCAAGACGGAAGCAAGCAGCTCAGACACGTCCTCAGGCATCGGTCGCAGTTTTCGCCGGACAAGTCGTTCGTGCACTGAGCCATCGCATAAACCGACCGAGAAGGCGCCGCCACGTCGGACTTAGTCGCAAACTTCTTAGATTCCCCCGCAGCCGCCTCGGCGATGATCTCTCTCATAAGCCGGGTCACCACCTGGTTGAACCGGTCTGGTTTTGTTGCGTTTGTGGTATTATTGCACAGGACGAACGTGTCCGGCTGGACCGAGAAGCTCGACCGGTTCGAGTAGCGAACCATACATCGGTCGAACCAGATGACTGCGGTTTTCCGGTTCGGGCAGTGCTGGGCGGTGTGGGAGGCGGCGAAGTTGACGCAGTCTTGGCACTCTTTCGGGGTGGTGTCGCCCCGGCAGAGGTAGAGGCCGTAGGCGGCGGCCGTGTCGGGGCGGAAGGACTGGTTGCCGGCGGCGGCGTAGTGGAAGGGGGCGCCGGCGGTGGCGGCGGTGGAAAAGAGGGAGAGGAGGGCGTTGAGGTTGGTGGCGAAGGTAGAGTTTGGAGTGAAAGCTGTGGCGGTGGGGCAGACGTGAGTTATGTAAGTGGGATTGGACGGTTGGGCGAGTGTTAGTTGAAAGGGAAGAAGAAGGATTAGGAGAAAAGAGAATTTGGATAGCATCATTTGTGTTTTTGGGCTTACTGATTCTCTTAATTGGTTTCATATTGGTGGATTTGAGAGGGATGATGATATATAATCGGCTGAAAAAGGGTAGTGAAGTTGGATTGACTTATTGTAGTTGACCTTGTTGCATGTGGCGGTTCAAGAGTCATTAATTTGCTAATGGATGCTTGTAGATTAGAGTTAAAGTTTGAAAAAAAAAATGAGTTAAAATTTGAAAGTCAATGCAGACATTGTTATTTGGTTCTATGAATTCGAGTGAATGGATAGAACATTAATTATGAATTTGCACGGCTTGCTGTGTTTAAAATTTGTATAGGTCGAGCATACCTTGTTTTTCAACCATTTGATCAAACAAGTTCTTATATCATGTCATGAATCGTTTGATCTCAATAATTTGTTAAAAAAAAAATTAATTATGAATCTTACATCACTCTCTTGCATATTTGCATGCGAATTAATGAGAAAAGTGATAAAGTTTAGTCATTTGATATGAAACCTTTTCATTTAGGGTACAAGCGCGGCTTTAAGAAAGTACATAAGGGTATGCATGTATTTTTTGTTTTTTATAAGAGCATGATATAAGTTTAGTTTTAGGTTAGAGGTGCTACTTAAGTGATTCATATCTAATAATATCTTCAGGTTCAAGACCATTGGTATTACCACTGGACCAAACTCTTATTTGTAAGTGTTGATGTGACTTGAATCGGACTATCAGCCGTTACGAGTACTGGAATAGTCGGGGGTCTGGGCCTAGTCTGTAACCGTTTCTTTTACAAGATTGGATTAGCTTTAGACCCACATTCTCATCTTCTCTGTAATCTGTAATCTCTTCGATATAGTGAAACTGGCGCTCTCTCGCCCGTGGACTAGCTAACACACATCGTGTTAGTGAACCATGTAAATCGTGTGTCGTGTTTTCCCGATCTGTAACAGCCCGTTTATAACAGTAAGGGTACGTGAAATCTGAAACCTCACTCAGACCGATCCACAGGATGACCATTTGTTCTTGTCTGCAAAAATAAAAGATAATTCATGTATCGATCTCATCTTGATAATGAAAAAAAGCGACTGAATGAGTATTACTATAGTGTTGTCAACTTTGTTCATGTGTATTAGATCACCTACTAATTCATTGCAAGTTCGCCTACTTCCCCAAATATGACAAGCCTTTCATCATGATGGAGAATTGGAGGTTATGCCACTTTGGATTGTGGCAATTACCAACCCAATTGTACTTTCGGCTCCGACAATCTTTGAACTAGAGCTAGCTCGTAAACTTTGTATTCCGTCTACAATGCAAGTTCTACATGATCGCTAATCTAGGTTCGTGATAAAAAAAAAAAAGCCCCGCAAATGCACCACAAATCCAAAATGATGTAACCATCAATCGTGAGTCCGAAATTGTTACACGAACAACTGTTTTCTCAATGGAAGACAAACACTTAATACGATATCAACACGTGCCAATTTCGTCAGATTACTCCATCCATGAATGAATAGATCATCGATCACGACACCTTGCCATAATAAATGGCAGCTCAACCGCTAGATTTTGTTCGGACAAGGGGGAGATATATGCTTTTGACTTTCGTTGCGTGATATCCGGCTTTTATTAGAAGATGCGTAGGCGACTAGTGTTGGTCGATCTGAGATTAGGGATTTGGTTTCAAAAAGAAAGGGAAAGTACACGAAGAGGAACCGACAAGGAGGAAGACAGACAACTCGATAAGTCGGTATTCTCAGACTTAAACAAAGTGGACCTAAGATTAAAGAGGCCCAAACGTTTAATTAAGATAAAGCGTTGAGTGGGCTTTAGAGCTCTTGACCCTTTTGCCACAGAGATAATGAGCAGAGTAGTACTCTGTCTTGTTTTCGCAGAACAGAAGCAGAACAGAAATAAAACACAGAGGAAGAAGAAGGCAATTGAAGAAAAAGGAACACAGAGGGATTTTAACGAGGTTCACCCAAACATGGTTACTTCCTCGTCCCAGCAGTCGTACTCACTCCTGCTGAGAGACACTATTGTTTTAGTTTATAAGACCACAATTACAACTAGAAATTAAATAACCAAATACCAAAGAAACCAGAGTTTAATGCTAACTCTGCAACAATATCAGCCACTTCTCTCAGACTTTGTACCCCTGGAGAAAAATACCCTTTTACTCTTAAGAATAAGTCATGTACCGCCTGATCTTCTTTTTTGTAAAAGTTGCCTCGGAAGAGGAAGAAGGAACAGATTATATAGCGCTCCAAACTAGCCGTTGAGGTAAATAAACACTTCCTTTCCTTAGATAGAAACTTTCCTTGTAGAAAATTGCCAGCTCTGATCTCGTCCAACAATCTCCCCCTAGATCAGAGATTGCAAATGATAGATTACCTGCAAAAGAATAGCTTTCGAGCACAAAGCATAGCAAACCAACCAAGACAGTAAAGGAATAGATCTAAAAACAATCAATCACACCAAAATCCAAACTCCACAATCAATCACACCAGAATCCAAACTCCACACCCTGGCAAATCCAAAACATCAAAGAAGGCTAAAAGTACGGAGCAAAAATAGATCTCCCCCTAAAACTATGCTCCCCCTAGATCAGACATCAAGGGATTCATCTGAACTGTAATCCACAAGTCTTGCAGAGCCATAGATGAAGGCAGCTTCAAACTGATCATCGTCAACTTCAAACTGATCATCAACATTGTTAACAGGCCTTCTCCCTCAGCTTCTTCTTCAAAAGCTTCTTCTTCAGGATCATCATCGCCTTCAGGATTAACATCTTCAGCAGCAACATTTATCTCCCCCTCGTTTGCAATCTCGAGTTCTTCAAGAACTTGGTCAATAAGAAAGAACCAGGAAGGCTGCTCCGTCCGAAAAGGGTAAATGGAAATCCCCAGGCGGAGAATCAATTGGGTGACAAAAGGACCAAAAGGAAGAGGGCCAGGGAAGCTGGAGTCTGCAAAGGTCATGAAAACTCCAAACAGGAGATACGAAAAGTCTAATGGGACTCCAACGACAGCATGAGCCATGATCCACAAATCCAAGGGAAGAATGAGATCCAGGGATTGGGTACGAGGCAGAAGAATCCGAGTGATTACAAAGTGAAGAGCACGAAGACGAGGGATAACTGCGGAGACAGGTAGGGAAGTTGCAGGACCAGGATGAATCCCAGTGAGCTGAACAAACTCAGCCGAGATATAAAATTGTATCTCCAAAGTTCAGACTCATGAGCTAACGCTTCCCCTACTGAAGGAATGCTGAGAAGTCGAGCCAACTCAGGCACAGGAAAGGTGACAAGATGACCATGAATAACAGTGGAAAAACAGCGAATGTGCAGCCCAAACGAGCGAATATTTGAGTAAAAATAACGGACCATCTCAGGACAAATCAGAGAGGGAGGATCTAGCAATAGAAAATCCCAACAAAGGTTATGAATGAATTCCCTTATATCAAGTCCAAAATCCACGAAGTCAGGAAGATGAACATGAACGGGAGAGGCAATGGGACGATTTTCATAGGCTAGAGTAAACCTATGGCGGCTGAAAGAGATATGCTCAGGGAAGATATAGCCAGTATAGGTTTGAGAGAATACATAATTCATGGTTGCAGAGGAAAGGAAGAGACACAAACTAATGAACACAGCAGCCAAGGCGACAGGATATAAATAGCTCACTAAGGATGATTAAACAGGAAGGCCAGACGACACCAAAGAAGGAAAACAAACATAATTGACCGGAGAAATCATCAACCAGAAAAGGAAGAAAAGATAAACAAGACAACCAAGCTAAATCAATCAAAAAGAACAAAAATAAACACACAAATGGAAAGAAAAATTCATCAGACAGAAAGTAAATCGTGAAGATTTTCAAGGGAGCGAAGACCAATATCATAGCATAGAGAAGTAAACCGATCAGTGGACATAGGTTTAGTAAACAGGTCGGCTAACTGGAATTCAGTGGATATGTAGTTTAGAGCAATAACCTGATTTTGAACCAATTCTCGGATGAAATGGTATTGGATTTCAATGTGTTTGGTCCGAGAATGCTGCACTGGGTTTTTAGTCATGCAAATCGGGCTAGTATTATCGCAAAACAAAGGAATGATAGGAACAGTTAAGCCATAGTCTCCTAATTGATATGGGAGCCAGTGGAGTTGAGTACAGCATCCTCCAGCCGCTATGTATTCGGCCTCAGCTGTGGAGAGAGCTACAACTCCATGTTTTTTACATGACCAAGAGACAAGTGAAGTACCAACGAATTGGCATGAACCACTTGTGCTTTTGCGATCAGTAAGACTTCCAGCGAAGTCTGAATCGCTATAACCAATAAGGTCAAAGCAAGTTTTCTTAGAATACCAGAGGCCTACGTTGACAGTACCCTTCAAGTATTGAAAGATACGTTTAACTGCAGCCAAGTGACTGGCTTTGGGTGTTGCCTGAAATCTGGCGCATAAACACACGCTATACTGGATATCAGGTCGACTTGCAGTTAAGTAGAGAAGGGAACCAATCATTCCTCAGTATAATTTTTCATCCACTAATATACCGTTTTCATCTTTATCCAATTTAAGGTTCACAACCATTGGAGTTGGACTGGAATTTGCATTGGAAAGATTAAACTTGTGCAGCATGGTATTTATATATTTAGATTGACTAATAAATATACCATGTGCAGTTTGTTTAAACTGAAGACCAAGAAAAAACTGAAGCTCACCCATCATACTCATTTCGAATACAGATTTCATTGCTTCACAAAAATCAGAGCACATAGAAGGATTGGTTGACCCAAAAACTATATCATCTACATATACTTGAACTATAAGAAAATAGCCATCAAAAGTTTTAGTAAATAGGGTTTTATCAACAGACCCTTGAGTGAAATCTTGCTCTAGAAGAAAGGTAGTTAACCGATCAAACCAAGCTCTTGGAGCTTGCTTTAGCCCATAAAGAGCTTTGTTTAACTTATAAACATAATCAGGATGCTGAAAATCAGTAAAACCAGGGGTTGTGACACATATACCTCTTCTTGGATATGGCCATTTAAAAAAACACTTTTAACATCCATTTGATATAAGGGAAAGTTCATATGACATGCAAAAGCACATAGCAACCTGATTGATTCAAGACGAACTACGGGAGCAAAAGTTCCATCGTAATGTATTCCTTCCTCTTGGCAATATCCTTGCGCATTAAGGCCTGCCTTGTTACGAATAATATTACCATTTTCGTCTGACTTATTTCTAAACACCCATTTAGTTCCGATAATAGTTTTTCCTAGAGGTCTAGGTACAAGTTCCCAAACCTTCAAGTACTCAAACTGATTTAATTCTTCTAACATAGCATATGCCCACTCTTCATCATGTAATGCTTCTTTGTAAGATTTAGGTTCTATCTTAGATATATAAGCGTATTGCCCAGGAGTGTACTTACCTCGAGTCCTGATACCATCTGTGATGTTACCAATGACTTGACTTTCTGAATGTCGTTTCTAAATATGAGGTGGTGCCTGTATGTTCTTATCTGTGTCTGAGGTGGATGCTAGTTCTCCTTCGGAAGTGGTCTTGAGCTAATTAGAACTGGCTGTTTGCATTTCATTCTCGACAGGTGTGGCTTTTAGAGATGAGTTGTCATCCCTTTGAGTAAGCTCAAGGAGATCGAAAATGTGATTTCCTGTCTCAGATATCTCAGTAGAAGGATTAGTGTCATAAAAAAAAACATGTACTGATTCTTCTACCTTCTTAGTACGTTTGTTGTAAACTCTGTAAGCTTGACCTTTCAAAGAGTAACCCAGAAAGATAGATTCATCTGACTTGGCGTCAAATTTTCCAAGGGTATCTTTTGTGTTTAAGGTAAAGCAACGACACCCAAAAGGATGGAAATAAGAGATATTTGGTGTCTTGTTTTTCAAGATTTCATAAGGATTTTTGTTGATAACTTTACGGACCAAAACTCTATTGATAACATAACAGGCAGTACTTACTGCTTCTGCCCAGAAATATTTAGGAAGATATAGTCTAGTAACATAGTTCGGGCAGTTTCTATTAATGTTCGATTCTTTCGCTCAACTACCCCATTTTGTTGAGGAGTGCGCGGAGCAGAGAACATATGTTTTATGCCCTTAGCTTTAGGGATGGCAACAAAACCCGAACCCACGGGTACCCACCCGACCCAACCCGGTCAACGCGGGTAAAACCCGTGTTGACGGGTTTTGGGCCGGGTTCGGGTTTAAACCCGCTACACTATTCACCGGGTCGGGTTGGGTTTGGGTTTAGGTAAACCCGCCCCATGGGTACCCGCCCACACACATATAATTACTTTCCCGGTATATTTAATATTCTAAATAATATATCGTGCTTAAATAACTAATATTCTTTATGTTTGTGGAGACATGTATAATTTATTATTTCTAATTGTTTAGAATGAAGTTGATATTATGAAGTGGAGAGTGAAGAAACTTAGTTGACGAGGAAGAAGCTTTCAATTAATCTTATTGTTTATGGATTTTTATCTTTAATTTTGAACAATTTGTATTGTTCATTTGTGGTTTGCTTGTATGCTCTAGATTGGTGTTTTTTGTATGATTAATTTGTATGAGAAAATTGATGTTAAACTTTTATTTTGAAAAAACTTGTTATCGTAAATTTTTACAACAAAAACCCACGGGTACCCATGAACCCGCGGATACCCAGCGGGTTGGGTTGGGTTTGAGTTTTTCAAACCCAACGGGTTTTACCCCGGGTTTTTTTGGCGGATAAACCCATAGGTTTGGGTTTGGGTTTGACAAAACCCGCCCCAACCCGACCCATTGCCATCCCTACTTAGCTTCGCAGAATTCAGAGAATTCTTCAGATATAAACTCACCCCGTTATCACTTTTAATACTCTTAACATAAGAATGCATCTTGATAAAAGATTCAAATTTTTAAAAAGTTTCATCCTTACTAGCAAGAAAGAAAACCCAAGAGTATCTATAGAAATCATCAACTAACACAAACACATAATTTTTACCTCCAAGACTAGTGATAGTACAAGGCCCGAACAAATCCATATGAATTAGCTCAAAGGATTTGCTGGTAGTAATGTCAGAGATGACTTTAAAAGGCTTTTTGGAGTGTTTTCCAGCAGCACAAGCATTACAGAAAAAATCATTTCGCTTTTTTAGATTAGGAATGCCACAGACTAGTTTTGATTTGGATAGAGATGCAAGTCTCTTCAAACTAACATGCCCAAGTTTTTTATGCCAGATTGTCTCCTGCTGATAAGCTTGAGACACTAGACATCTTTCATTAAAAGCATCAAGATCACATAGATCAATCACATACATATTTCCTATGCTATTTCCTATAAACATAACCTTGTTATCACGTATACGTTCTACCAAGCAATGGGATGACTCAAAAGTAACCTTGTTTCCACTACTGCATAGTTGACTGATTGAAAGTAAATTATGTTTAAGTCCATCAACCAGCATGACATTTTTAACAGATGGCATAAGGGACAAGCCAATAGTTCCTTGTCCAACAATTTTACCAGCACTGTTATCACCAAACACAACTTCACCTCCCATTTTATAGTCCAATGAAGAAAAAAGAGCTTCGTTACCTGTCATATGATGAGAACACCCGTTGTCCATATACCATTTGCTCTCTGTTTCTTAGAAATCTTCGTTGTAGGGAATAGTTTTTCTGACCAGTTTGTGTTGTTCTGAGTTAAGATTGCTCTCTTTAGCCATGTAAGCTTCTTCAATCTGTCTTTCCCCGTCATTTTCATATTCATAATCGCTCCAAGATGATGCTAAGGCCTTCTCTCTGGCTTTTAGTGTTAGAGGACAATTTGCTCTGACGTGTCCTATTCTTCCACACTTGTAACAGCCTTGAGGCTAACGATCTGTTACCCCGCCAGTCATGTCTTTTTCCTGTGAAGCATATCTCTCGAAAGAGGTAGTTTTAAAACGACCAGGATTAGTAACCATTCTTCCTGAGTCTCCAACACGATTTATAACCTCATTTTGCCGATAGGGTAACTCAGGGAA